AATGATCCTCGAGTCCATAAACAAATCTGTGGAATAATGTCCAAGTGTTTTAATCCTTTTTGGAATGAATACATCACCCATAAACCATACAACCCGACCCTGGTCCTGTTGGACCTTCCCCCACCTTGATGGCCGAAAGTACCACCCAAAACCACCCCTCCCAAATATCCAAATCAAACCCAAGTCCCTTCCTTTTTTTACCACTGGCCGAACCCACACCCCCCCACAACACCTCATCACACTTTAAACCACATACTAAATCCACAAACCCTTTTCTTTTCCCTGGAAAGGCCGAAAACTAAGAGCCAAAACCCAACCCATTATTTCTCCAATGTGTACTAGCAGTGGTCCCCTTGTGTTCCCCCAATCAAGCTGAATAAACAACCATAAAAGGCCAAGAACAATTCAGCATATATTGGCTCATAATTTATCAAGAAAACCCAACTCATGAGAAGCCAAAAAACCTGCCATATTCCTCCTTCCTTGTTTCCCCACCTGGGCCGTGCATAACCCCACCAAAACCCACCATAAAAGAATCCCCATTTCCAACCAAATAAGTGAGTCTCATTTTCCAACCCCTCACTCCCCACACCAGGCCGAAACACCCTCCCCCACAACCTCACCCTTCTTCCTTGTTTTCATTCCATTAAAATAAGTGGACATTATTCCCCAAATAAGTGAATGTACTAGGAAGCTTCCCTCTCCCCCTGATGTGCTTATATATATTTCGGCCATAGGCCTTTGTAGCAGGCAGATTGTATTTTCCCATTTCAGAAGTAATACACTTGTGTGTGTTCTATTTTAAATTCATATTTCTATATCTTAAGAGTGGTTCTCTTAGGTGTGAGTTATAGGTTCTAGTTATTTGAATAAGTGTGTAATATTACATTCCGATCATGAAGCGTTGAAATACATTCAAGGGCAGCATAAGCTCCGGCCCCGTCATGCTAAATGGGTCGAATACATCCAAACCTTCACCTTCACCATCAAGCACAAAAACGGAACCATGAACAAGGGAGCCGATGCCTTGTCCCGAAGGCATTTATTACTAACGGTACTTAGTACCAGACTTGTTGGTTTTGAGTTTTTGCAGGAGCTGTACAAGGAAGATGAAGACTTCAAGGACACTTATTCTAAGTGCCTCATTCGGCCCTATGGAGATTTTCTTGTCAAAGACGGTTATCTCTTCCGTGGTAACCAATTGTGCGTCCCGAAATGCAGTATGCGCGAAACCCTCATTGAAGAAGTCCACGGAGGAGGCTTAGCTGGTCATTATGGAGTCGACAAGACTCACATGATGATGAAGGAGCATTACCACTGGCCAAAGATGGAACGAGACGTCGAGCATTTTATCAAGCGTTGCAACACATGCCACCTAGCAAAGAGTCACTCACTGCCCCAAGGAAAGCACATGCCACTGCCCGTTCCTTGTGCACCATGGGAAGATATTAG